ATATTCCCAGTATGAGCTGCAGACTGTACACACCTGAGTGTCATGATTCTGTGTGTCACTGCTCCTTCTCTGATCCCTGTGTGTGCCAGATGCTCCCTGCATGAGCTGCAGCCTGCACACACCTGAGTGTCATGATTCTGTGTGTCACTGCTCCTCCTTCTCTGATCCCTGTGTGTGCCAGATGCTCCCTGCATGAGCTGCAGCCTATACAGGGGTCCCTGGGGCAGGGCCATTGCTTTGGATGCTGTTGTATGAGCACAGCCCAAGGCTGTGGTGGCACACTGGGGAGTTCAGTGTCCCTGGGATTTCTCTCTGGCACCAAGTCAGGAATGTCCTGTGTACCGAGGACTAAGCTGAACAGTAGGTTCAGTGGTGACACCACTGAAGGGCATGAAGGTAACTTTGCACACCATGAGAAGGCCAGCATGAGATGAGTGTGCTGTTCCAACCCCTTGGTACCACACAAGGGCTTTCATGACCGATGCCAGCCCTGTGCAAAGGCTTGACATTGCTCCTAAGAAACTTGCTTTACATTTCCCCTATGAGGAGCATCTCTGAACATCAAGGAGATCAATAATTAATCCTAACAGCCCTTTGTCTGCAAGCCAATGTTTCTATTTAGTTACATACATACTATTAAAAATTTATTGGCTGAAAATCACGATCTGTTCTTAGACAAGAATCTGTTTAATATTGCCAGGTCTGTGTTTCACACTGGCTCTCTTGGGCCCTCACACAGACGTAGCTGTGCCTGTCTGTCCTGGCAGAAAACATTCCAGCATGTCTCTGGCAGGGCCCCACACCCCTCATGACAGTGGCATTAGCAGGTGACACAGGGCAGGGCAGAGCTCTGGTCAGGACAGGCTGCCACCACACTCATGTCCTGCACTGCACTGACCTCTCAAAATCCCTCCCTTGCCTCTAATGCCAGCACTCACAGTTCACAGAGCAGAGTTCTGCAGACCTTTCCTAATTGATAAAGTTTCCCAGGATGAAGAGAAAGAGTTTGCAGCAGCAGCAGGCTCTGCTGTGGCCCCTGTGCAGCAGCAGCTGTGCAGCAGCACCCTGGCTGGCACTGGTTCTGTGCTATGGAAAGCAGCCTAGGACAGCAGGAGAGAGATAAAACCTGATGCAAACACGAAGTAGGTCTGCAGAATTCCCACCACTTAATGGCAGTGCCTGGCCTCTTCCTGCGTGGTACCAGGGACTTTCTGCAGGAATTGTGCTGGAATTGCCAAACCCTTGTGTGGTGTGGGAGCTCACATTCAGTTATGACAGAAAACTTAGCCCTTAGGAGCCAGACCCAACTGGTTCCAGATCTCTGTCTCGAGCCTGAATCTTATTTATGTGCTTGTTGAAGCACCTGCAGATGTGAGTGGGTGCATGATTAGATTTCTGCAATGACTGTGTGCCTTTCTCTCAGAGAAAACAGTGGTAATTTGACTGTAATGACTTGAGACAGCTCTTCCCTCCTGAATCAGAACCCATGTCCCCCTTTATGTCTGCACCAAAAGCTGAAGAGCTCCAACACACATCCATTGCTGTTTCTGCTCACATTGGTGCAACTCAGCCTAAGGGCAGTGCTCAAGCCACTCCAGCTCTTTCACTGCATCACACAGAAACTGTGAGGTGATGTTTTAGCCCTGTGCAGAAGAGAAGTTACCCACAGGTGCCAATGACAGGCGCAGAAAGTCTCTGGTGAGCTCCAAAGGTTTGCATCTCTCCACAGCTGGCAGGGTCCTGCCAGCTGTGCTGGGTGTTGATGGGAGCTCCTCGAGGTCGTGGCTGCCTGCTGATGTGTGTGATGGCAGGGACAGACAGCAGCCTTGGGCAGGGACAGACAGCAGCTCTGGGCTGCCATAGATGGGTTCTCAAGCACTGCTGTTCTGTGAACCACCTTGAAATCAGCTGACAGATTTTCAGAGCTTTGCTTCAAAGGGAACCCAGGAAAACAGAACATTTCTTTGGCACAAAGGCTCTTCTCCATACAGGAAATGAATTGTATAACTCCATCTCTGCTGTGGGAGGTATCTGTGTGGCCTTGGGCACTTGCAGGACCCTGAGCCTCCCCCTCCACATTAGCATGAGTGCCCAGTCATGCAGCTGGTTTTTGAGCCAGTTGAATGGTAAAAGCCAGCTTCTGCAGCTGTCCCAGTGCCTGGCACTGTTAACCCTGCACAGAATCTCCAGCCAGCCACTTTCCTGTTTTACTAAGACTATCAAAAACTTCACAAGAAAATTTTGGGTGTGGTCCTGGAGCAGATGGTTCTGCCTAGAGGAATCCATTGTGCCCAGCACCAAAGCAGGAAACCATAGCACTTTGTTCCTGTGAAAATTGCTGCCTTTTCTCACCCATTATCTCTTTTATATTTGTACTAACATGTGCATGAGGAAACAGAAGATTTATTGGTCAGAAAAAGTCACAGAACTGTGCCAGAACAGGTTACCATAGAGAGCACCAGGAAGATTCAGGTCAACAAACGCCTCTCAAATAATAAATTACTCTTGTTAATACATGAAAATACTTGAAAGAAGGCTTGGTAGTGGTTGTCTCCAGGTTCAACTCGCAAGCCAGAACACTGCAATATCCCTCCCAGAGATTCCCTGGATGCACACTGCTGCTCAGATGTGTGCTCCCTCGGGCCCCATGGCCAGCAGAGCCCTGAGTTACAGCCCTGCCACGTTCTCATTGCTGGAAGGTGGGGCTCTCCCCAGAACTGCCCTCTCTTTCACCCAGTCCTACTGCTGGAGGCTCCAGAGGGGAGCTGGAGAGTTCAAACTCTCCTCACAGCTTGCACTGTGCCAAGGCATATCCTGGCCTTGGGCTTTGCCTGGTCTCCTCCTTATTCCCAATGGAATTCAGGGAAGAACAAGGGCTCAGAAAGTCAAGCAAGGGGCATTTTCAAAATCCTGTAGGTTCCTTCCAGTCCAGCCAGGTGTCATGATTTTTTTAATGGAACAGGATTCTGTGATGCTGTGATTACTTTTGTTTGTTTGCTTGGATGTTGCAGCCAATTCCAAGGGCCTCTTATTCACTGACTGATTGAAAAGCTTTTGGTTTCTGTCTCTTAGTAGGAGATGTGCTCTTTGCCTGGTGTGAGCCTGTGCCCTGGGAAGGCCTCTTGAGAGCAGGAGTACCAGCAGTGAAGGTACAAGCAGCTTTAGGCAGACCTGGAAATGTTTCCACACTGCCCTGGCACTTTAGCCATGGGAGACAGGAACCACATGAATTTTGTGGATGCCAAAGTAAGGATAAAACAGTTCGAATTTGCTTCCACCACAAAGCCCCTAAAGTCAGCTCTCTCTAGGTGCAGACATCAGCTATGGAAAGGTCCTTGCCTGTGTCAGCCCAAGCAAACTGAGAAGATAAATTGGTGCTTCGGGCCCCAGGAGGTGCCAGTGGGAGCCACTGCCCCCCTCTGCCCCAGTGAATGGTGTCAGGACAAAACTCCCTTGAAAGAAGAGGGGTGCAATGCAGCAGCAGGGCGAGGAGTGACTGCTTGAAGGCAGGAAGAGCCCAGCCACCATTTTTAGAGTCCAAATAGCTTTCCTGTGAGATGAACAGGGAAGATAGGGAAGATTAGATTGTGCTGGTGGAAGTTGCTTGGAGCACGCTGAGACACCCATCCCTTCAACCAGTAATGTTTCTTTAGCAGCAGTTCAGGAGTTTGGGGTCTATTTTTGTCACGGCTCACATCTGTGAAAGGTTTGGCAAGTACCCTTGGCCCTCAGGTCCAAAAGGAGCCAAGAACTCCTGGCTGTGCAGGAGCAGGGAGCGTGGTTCCTGCTGTCAGGAGATGGAGATCCAGCCACCCCTGGCCCTTGGTGGGAAGGACCCCCCACTCTGCACCCATGTGCCAGGGGGACAGAGACACCAAGTTTGGGGTTTTACTTTTGCACCCAAGTGCTGCTGATCACATTGTGTGTTTCTGCTGGAATCAGCAGTTCCATGGCCCTTTTCTGATGCACAGGCAGGACCCTGTGTCCATGCTCTTGCATAAATTACCATATTGTTTCAGCAGCTTTCTTTAGGAGCCTGCAGCCTCAGCTTGCTCCCAGCTCCACAGTTTGCCCTTGTCAGTTCACGTCCCCACAGCTGATCTCGGGCTCCACAAAGCCCAAGCCATCCTGATTTGGAGGTGTGAAATCTTTGCTTTCAGTTGATTTTAAAAGCGAGCTCCTTATTCTTGTGTGTGTGGGCACAGCCCAGAACACATAAAGCAGTGTAAGGAGCAGTTGGGGATGAAAGCAGCTGGAAGCACTGGGACAGGGTGAGACAGGCACAGGATGCTCCATCAGCTGCAGGTTTTGTGTGGCAGGGTGGCAGGAAAGGGAGGGAAAGCTCCTCCTGTCTGAATTGAGAGCAGCTTTAAGAAAGCAGAAGACAAATTACTTCTCATTAAAGCCTGTGTGATTTATGGCATGTCATTTGCATGCCAAAACTTTGCAAAACAAAGCTAATTAGGGAGCTGAAAGAGCCTTTCCTCCAGAAACAAGGCTTTCTGCTCCAACTGTTAAATAGCTGCAGTCAGACTGGACACTTTATCGGTGCATTAGGAACCCTTCCTGACACCCGTGCCATCCATGGCAGCGTCTGGTACAAAGGATCCACCTCGGCCTCGGTGTGTCACAAGCAGCTCTGGGAGAGGGGCATGGAGAAAGGAGAGTGTTCCCAGGCACACACTGCTGCCTTGTCCACCAGCCCTGGGTGCCACCAGCCCTGGAGCACCCTGGGCAGGTGCCTTTCAGAGGCAGCCTTTGGAAAACCCACGTAGCAGTGTGACAGGGCCCAGGACAGCTGTGCACATCCACAGGCACTGGTCAGAAAGAGGCCACGTGGTGCATTTATGCTCATCTCCCAGCTCATGGTTCCTTTGGGGCCACTCCATGGGATCCCCTGACTCCAAACACAGCCTGCCCAAGGTGTCTGACCTGCAGGAGGGTGACTCACTCAAGTTAATCCCATCATAGAACTGCTGGGAAGGTAGCAAGGCCACGTGTAAACCAGACAGGATCTTTTATTAAATCACTAAAACCCAAAAGCTTTTCCCAATGCAAGAAGTTGTAAATAAGTTTTTGATGTTGTAACACTGGCAGGTAACGTCTGTCCCATCCTGCAGAAGAAACAGGCACGGTTTGCATTTACTCACCTGTGACACCAGGCCAGCCTTGGGGGCTCTCCAAAGCTGGCCTGCCAAGGACCTGCAGGCTGCAGTGACTGGCTCCTGAGGTGGAGGAGCCAAATCCAACAGGGACAGAGATGAGAAGAAGCTATTCAGCCCCACAGAAACATGAGCAAAGGCAAAATGAAACACACACCTGCCACATCACTGAATATGCAGAAAACCACCAGCACAGCATCCTCCTGGCTTTATAAGGCACCAAGAGCAGCTCCCAGGGCAGGGGATTCTACAGAAAACATAATTCAGTTTGCCAGTTTGCTTTTGTGCTCCCAGTCTATTAACTTATTAATCAATTGACACCTCCTCCTGATACTCACCAGCTGGCTTTGTACGTGCCTAAGTAAGCCTAAAATACCCATCCCAAAAAATCCTTACTCATCTGGAATTGCCAGGGAGGGAAACTAAAACTGCTGAGTTTAGTTAATCAGAACTATTCAATGCTTTAGGTCAGCCCTTCCCTGCCTTCCAGCACTCTCCTGGGACACACAGGTATTGGGATTTTAGGTCTCAGAAAAGTCAAAGAGCTCTGTCCTAAAATCCATGTCCAAGGCACCCCAGGAGCCCTTTGCCAGACAGATCAGCCCAGTATCTCCTGATGGCTCTGCCCAGGTACAGGACTTATTTAGTACTGTGTCAGGAGTTAACTAAAAATCACACATCTGCCCCATTTTCAAACACTAAATGTCAAGAACTCAGTCTCAAACCTTCTCTTCCATTCAAGCAGATTCGGGGAACCTTTGGAGCATCTCTGCAGACAGTGCTTGTCCTTCCTCTACAGAGGCACGCTGAGCTTCTGCAGCTGCAGGTGTCTGGAGGCCATCCTTCCTTGCAGGCACTGTTTTAGTCCCCAGAGAGTGACATTCCAAGCCTGTAGAGCCCCTGGCCTCAGGAGCTGGGAGTGAAACATACCTGCCATGCACAGAAGGCTGCAGTGTGTGGGCTGATGCAAAAAGATTCCAAAGACTATTATGTCTCCAAACTTGTCCTTTCTGCAGCCTTTCTGTTTACAAACCAAAACTACAGGGTGTTTTTTGCTTTGTGGCCCGGAGTTTAGCTCATGTGGATACAGAGAACTTAATCACATTTAGAGATGTCCTTTTTTTTTAAAGCAGAGTGTGACTCACACACTTTCCCACTCAAATAATTTCAGCTCCAGTGCAAAACCCATTATTGGAAGCCACATGTTTCCCTGGTTAAATATTGAGCCCATTTTGACCTCTTCATAGTAAACCAAAAGCTACTTTTTAATACCCTGAACTTCCCTGTAACCTGAGCTGTTGCAACACATAAAAACTGATCTCACCTGACTTGAACTGAACTGGGACATCCAGTTGACTCATCTCAGTAAGCCAGGGCTGACTTGCAAGCAGCATTTCATCTCTCTAGGTTTGAGATGGCACAGATGGAGAGCTACAGGGATGTGCTCATTTTTTCCAACACATCCTGAATGGAACATTGAGAGCTTACACTGGCCACCTGTTTGGAGCTTGAGGAGACTTTCTGCACCCTTAGTATGCACCTGTAAGGGAACATGGGAGAGTTACCTTGCTGCAAGTTCACATTTTTCTTGCAGCTGGCTTCCTTGCATTGACAGACCTTAATATTTAACCCTGAAGTCCTGCTGAGGCGAGGTTACACCTGAGATCAGGTGCAGATTTAGATCTCTAGTCATGCATCCAGCAGCTCTCATTTCAGATAGCACCAGGGTGCTGCGTATTTACTGTGTGTGTTTTTTCTTTCAGACTGTTTGTCTTACACAGCGCTGGAAGTGTTATCAAAAAGGTGCTATGGGAAGCAGAGGTGCAAAGTCATTGTCACCAGCCGGGACTTTGGGAGTCCGTGCCTGCCTGGAGTGACCAAATCCCTCAATGTCAGCTATGCGTGTGGTAAGAGCAAGTGCACAATCCCTTTCTAGCCCTGTTTCTGCTTGCAGAGACACACACCTGTCCACATGTGGGCACTGAGCCCTCCTCAGTACCCATTTCCCTTTAACACAGGAGGCTTGTGACACAGCCATACAAAACAGGTGAACAACCCCCTGGGCACAGCAGCACCTCACAGACACTCTGGCATTCAGGGGCTTTTGCTATAAAAATGCAACCAACCATGAAATATCAACTGGGTAGTTCAATATTTTTGAGAAATACTATCAAGATAAGAGTTTGTTCCACAGAGCTCACCTGCAACAGAGCTAGGAAAAATGAACTGGAACTGGCACTGCCTGGCCTCAGTGCAGGTAAAACAGCCCAGCATAACTGGAGCACTGTGCACAAGGCCAGTCCTGAAACCTGACTCATGTGAGTTCATCCACAGCTTCTCCCTCACAGAGGGGTTTCCTTTCTCATGGAAGGGGAAGTGAGGGTTTATGAACAGTAAAGGCTTGAGTTACACATCCCTTGCAGGACTGAAGAGTGCTTCAGCTCATTCCTCAAACAAGAGGCAAGCTTTCCATAGATTGTTTGCTATAGATTAATATACTTTCATAAGAGGCAAGCAGAATTCCCTAAAACGCTCCACTAGGAGCAGCTCCACAGGTCCATCCTGCAGAGTCCTTTGGCTGCATCCCTAGTGAGCAGTGCTCAAAGGGCACAGTTACCTGAGACATGCTTTGAAGAACAGCAGTGTAAGATTGATGGCCACATCACCTCTACCTGAGGATCAGAGCAAGATGAGCCCCAGGAGAGTCTCAGTGTCCCCAGGAATTGGTTTGTGAGCTGTGGAAGGTGGTGCAGGAATTCAGCTTCCTATTACTGGAGAGGTCTGGGAATCTGCCATTGGACCGATACATTATATTATAGTGCAGCTGCCTTTATGAATGAGCTAATGCAATTCTCTCTAATTAGCATGAGCATAATCACAAGAAGTCACTCCTCTTTGCACGTCTGTGTCCCAGAACAGCAGAGTGAGTTTGTTTGTGAGTTTGTTGTTCCTGGAATCATGCATTCTGTTATTTAGGGATGTGGCTTTGCAAGAACACGTGGGTAACAAATAGAGTTCTTTTGTGCTGCTGGCACATTTGGAAGAGTTTTCTCCTGCCAAATCTCACTGGGCTGTGCAGTCTGAAGCATTAGCCAATGATTTGCTGATCCGATTATTTTACAGATTGTCTAAAGAACACAGGAAGAATATTCCAGAATGGCAGTTGGCAATTCTCCTCACTAGAGGATGCCTGCTAATCTGATGCTTCCCAAGACAATGCAAACAGATCTCCCCCTGTAGTGACAGGAACTCAGCAGAGCAGAGCAGTTTTGTTCTCAGGGCTGTGCCACACTTCAGAGTATTCCTACCCTGGTCAGGGGTGTGCAAAAACCCCACACTGCCCACCCAGGGCTCAGCAGCTGTTCAGGGGGAGCATGTCTGGCTGCACTCTTACACTGGCACTTCATTCCTGACACTAAAAACATGACAGCAGCTGGGAGCTGCTGCTCCACTGGAGACTCAGTGCCCCCAGAGCTCTGCTCAGCATCATCCCCTGTCTGCTCCAGCTGGGACCTCCTGGCTCCCACTGAGCCTGCCCTTCAGGATCAGGGAACCCTCTCTGGGGAAACAGCCCTGTGCTGTGGATCAGGGAACCCTGTGCAGGATCAGGGAACCCTCTGTCAGGAAACAAGGCTCCCTCAGCCCCGTGGTGTTTGGCACTCCCTGGATGCCAGAGTCCCTTTGTGGGCTGCCTTTGGCAGCCTGCAGGAGGTGACTGACTCCTACATGCCAAAGCAGTGCTGGCACAAGTTGTAATACAGATGTGATTGTCTTAATTATTAATGAAAATTCCTATCCTGGTCCCAGCTGTTCTGTTCAGTGACCTGATGTAGCCTGTAGCAGTCAAAAGTCCTTGCATCTGGAAGGCACCACAATGAACACAAGCAATGCAAGCAGCCAGGGGCTCTTTCTGCCACACCATCCTGAATTAAACATTCCCCTGCAGTAAATATTTGAATGCACAGGGGGAAAGAGCAAGTGAAGCCCTGGGGAGCTCCCCCTGGGAGGAGGAATATCAGCCCAGGTGGAGGAGTCCCAGGCCACAACAGGAGCTTTGCCCTGGAGCAGGGGCATCCTCCCAGGGTGTTGTTCAGAACAGGCAGGCCTGCAAATGCAGACTGCAGGCTGGAAACAATCCTGCTCCTGTCTGCCCCACATGCCAAGGAAAGTATTCTGCTGCTGGAAAACAGCTACAAGTACCACGAGGTACAGGACAAAATAGAAATGAGCTTACTCACCCCTGTATCTGTTGGCCTTCCGCTGCAAACAGGAGCGAGGGCTCCCAGAAGGATTCCTTCATCAGGAAAGGAAACAGCTCTGACTTTGAGCCCACACAGAAAGAAAAGTTCTGCTCAGAAAGAAGTGCTATTTTTAGTTGTTTTCCAAGAGAAAACTATGCTAAGCTGCAAACCTCAGTCTCCTCTGCTCATTTAACTCTCTCAACACTATTTCTTGGCAAGTGTTTCTCTGTGGGGTAGAGGTGAGTGCCATACTTGACATTTCTCCCTGTTTTACCCCCCGTCAGTCTGAAAATCAATCAATCAATCAATCAGTCAATCAATCTGCCTTCCCATAGCACAGGAACAGGTGCCAAGGTCTGGGTGGCTGAAGGGGCCACTCATCCATTACAGAACATGTGAACTCTCAGTGCCTGTACAATGCACCTGCTTGTAGTTCTTGTAATTACTTGAAGAAGACTGAACACTTATCAGGGGAATAAAATAACGAAATGAGAGAGATGCAGCTCACGGACTCCCATCCTCCCCACCCTCCTCAGCAACTGTCCATCTCAGAGCTTCACAAATGACATCACACAAGCCTTCACCATTTCTCTTAGAATGACAGGGAATTATCCTCCTCCAAACCCAGTGTCCAGATGCAGCTTAGCACCTGGCTGTAGCCCAGTTCATGCTGAATTTAGAGGCCAGTTCTGTCTCCATCCACTGGCTGGCACACCCCTGAGGGGCTGTCTGGAGATGCACTGATGTTCCTGGAGCAGGCGGGGTGCCAGTGCAGTCACAGCCCAGAGCTGCCCTGGCTTCACATGAACCACACAGTCCTTAATGCTGGAAAAGAGCTCCAGGAGCGAGTCCAGCCCTCAATACCGCTGTCAGAAACCCAGTTAACAAACCCAGGGTGAGCAGTGGGATTCATAATTCCCTGGGCAGAGGGCTCTCAAAACTCACAGAACACACTTGACCTTTTGTCTCTGCAGTTCCCAAGTTTATCCTCAC